TTAAGTGTCATTTCAAAGAACACAAGCTCATTATAATAAAAATGAAATTAAGTATTTTGCATTTTCATGTCCCACTTAATGAAATAAAGGTTCAGTACACATTCAAAAATACATATTTATAAATTCACTTTCAAAATGAAACAAATATATTTTCCAAGCACTATCACCATACAACTATCAGGCCTACATGTAGTGAAATGAGATGAATAAAAGGAAAGCTAATCAAATTTCTGATTAATCCCAATTTGTTTGGCATAAATTTCCTTGATTAGCATGAAAACATACAGTCAAAGGCAGGGAAAGTTTGTTTTCTTCAATGCTTTCCTATTTTAGGTGGTTCTGAGTAGACTAAGAAAATATTTCTCACTAGAGTGGACTAATTAAGATAATCTTTCTCACCCTGCAAAGGAATCAAATTGATTTCTAATTTTTATGTTTCTAATTTTTGATACTTATATTGAGGTATAATTTATATTGAGGTATAATTTATGTAAAATAAAATTTACTCATATCCTATCCTATATGGTAAAAGTTTAAGTATGGTCAAATGTGCATAGAATGTATCAACATCAACACAGTTATAGAAAGTGTCCATCAGTTTTCCCCTATTGTCTGCAATCAATCCCCTTCCCCAAGCAAGGTCCCAGGCCTGCCCTGATCTCTTTTCTGCACTACAGAATTCAGAATCCTATCCAAATATATTAGGTAGGTAGGCTTCCCATTTCTGGTTTCTTTACCTTAGAATGTTTTTGTATTCATACCTTAGATGTTGTACCTCCTACAGCTAATATTATAGATCAGTGATTTCTTAATTTTCATTACATGGAGTTACAACAATTTACCCATTTTCAAGCTAATAAACATTTGAGATACTTTGAAGTTTTATAATAATAAACAATGTTTTCCAATGACTTATGGAGGAGGCTTTGTATTGACATGTGTTATTACTTTAGGGCAACACAACAGTAGTAGGATGTTGTTTGATTAAATGTACATTTAACCTTTTAAGCAACTTCAAAATTGTTTTCCAAGGTCAATACATGATTTTCTATTTCAATCAATAATCTGTAAGACTTGAGTTGTACTACAAATTGTACAAATTCTCACAAACACCTGGTATTATCCATCTTTGTAAATTTTGTCATTCTAGTGTTGTTATGGGTCATTCAGGATATCTTCTTTGGTCAAGTGTTTGTTTAAATATTTTGCCAAATTTTGTGTTGTTTCTTATTGGTGATGTATGAGAGTTCTTTATATATTCCTGATAAAAGTCCTTGTAAGATATTTTAGCAGATGTATTAAGGCATTCTTGATCAACCATTATTCAACATATTCCACATATTTAAAAGTGTATAATCTAATAAATTTTAACATATGTATATACTTGTGAAACTATGGCCACAATAGAAACCATAAATATAAGACAAAATTTAAGATAGTAATAAATAAAAATTACATTACAATCTGACAATTTCTGATTAAAAATGAGATGTTTATATTTTATAAGAAAATTTTGATTTATAAAACTCCTTATTAGAGCAGCTACATATGCTTATTTTCAAAATATCAGTTAATCTTTTCTAAAACATCCAATTATCCATGTGAACAAAGAGAAAAATGAACATGTGCTCCAACTGGAAAGGTCTTTTTCTCTGAGCATGAAATTTGTAATTACTCATATATTTTTATATCTGCTAAAAACTTATAACTAAATAAGATTCAAGTAAAATTAGAAAATAAAATTAATGAAAATGGATTATGTTAAAAGTGATTATTAACAATAGGATTTGGTTTTGCATGTATATCCTCAAAACTTGCTTTTCAAAACATTTGTTTATAGTTAAATGAATTATTAGTCCAATTTAATGACCCATTGTTAGTAAAACTATAAAAGAAGACTAAAAGGTGGAAAAATCTTTCTTAATATTTGATATATTATTTTATCTTTGGAACATTTTATGTTCATGTAATTAAATATACTCACCTCTCCCACAAGCTTACTCATCACCTTTTGCACCTCTACTCTCTTGTCCCAATTCAACATCCCTTCCTAGACAACCATATACCAGCTTTCTCTCACTATAGATTTGTGTACATTTTCTGGAATTATTGCTTGCTTGCTTTTTCATGTCTGGTTTCTTTACTTAACTGTTTTGAGATTTACCCATATTGTTCTTTGTATCAGTAGTTCATTCTAGTTTTTACTGATGAGTAATACTGTATGGTCGAAATATTTCAATACTGTGTTTACTCATCCACCCGTTAATACATATTTAGTTTGGGGCTATTATTCAAAAACTGCTGTAAACATTTGTATAAAATTATTGATGTGGATGTATGCTTTCTTCTATGCAAATACACACAGCAGGTGTATGTTTGAGTTGTTATGAACTGCCTATCTTGCAAAATGGTTATGCCACATTACATTCACACAACCCACGTATGAGAGTTGTAGGTACTCCAGTGTCAGCAAAGTTGGCATGATGAGTTTTTTTTTTTTTAAATCTTAGCCATTAAAGGAGTCACCAGACTCTGGAGTCTGCTTTGTTCTTCTGATAGCCTGTTTGTCATTGTCATTCTAGGAGGCAATTAACTTGCCTACATCTACTGTAATATATAGCAGCTAATATCTCTGTTCAGAAGTCTAAAGAAAGGCCTCAAGAATCCCTTAAACACCTTAAGTTTTTTGATTATTTTTTTAAGTTAAAAAATTTTAAATTTTAATTAGTAACATTTTTCTTATTATGTCATTTTGAGTTATGAGAAATTTTTCTCTTAAGTCTTATAAATCCATTGTTGTTCAGCTGTAGTACCAAAATGTTAATACTGTTGTTGTAAATTCAGATCTACATTTCTTACATCTAATACAAATTGTCATAAAAATATGAAGAAGTATGAAAAAAGCTAAGTTTAAGATAGATGTGTTTAACCTGATTTTAAACATATAATGTATACATGTACTAAAACATAACCCCAATAATATGTAAAATTTTTATATTTTCATGTATCAATGAAAAATAAATGTTATAAAAAGATGCTAAATGAAAATCAAGATGCTAAAACGTTATAATAATTTTTTGAAATTAGATTATCATAATTTCACTTTGCTAACTGAAATGATTTTAAGTAAAATGCCAAGGTAATAGTATAATGGAATTTATTTTAAATAAACTCTTAAAAAATTAGGACTATTGTAATAAAATAAAACATTTGTTGCTTCAAAATATATTATATCATAGTATAGTGTTAATACTTACTTAGTTCTCACAACACACCATGCCTCTTCTAAAACATAATAATTCACATGTAACTCCAACAACTTATCTCTCACTTCTTTTGCAGATTTTCGACTATATGCTGAATAAACTATTTTTGTTCGGGCCCTTTAATTTTAAACAACAATTATAAACAGATTTTAAAATAAAGTATAATGGACTAAAGAAAATTTAATAGCAAATTGAAATTTCAATCCTCACAGGATGGGGTATTGGTATGTATGTAACAGAAATTATTTTTGAAATAGCTATTTCCACATTTCTACTTATATTATGAATGCTCTAAAACAACCAGTTTGAATTTTGAATAATACTGCTTGTTTGTATGCAATCTAGTATGGAGTTACACTGAATAGCAGGATAATTTCTCAGAATATAAAATTTACTTTACATAATACACAAATTAATTTGCTCACAGAATATTTTCAGACAGAATCTGAAAACAGATTTCATAAATAATATCTAAAGAAGCACAGAAAAATAGATGAGTTGTATTTCAATGTAGCAAATAGAATATTTAGATCCTGGGTATCGGAGAGGTAGAAGGAGCACATTACATATTTTTCACAACAGGGATATTCATCAAAATATGGTACAATGAATGATTTGACTTTAAATTCTTATGAAAGAATGAACAAAGCACCCTTTACATGTTAAATGTTACTTAGGACTTCAAGCATATGGGATGTTCAATCACCACAACCAGGCATAAAACTTCAAATAATTCAAAAATTTTCCTTTAAGAATAGGCCAAAAATCCACTAAAAGAAAAAGATTACACTGACCATTAATAGAATAATCAAAATGAGTTTTGGAAGCCAGTCATGTATAAAAAAACAAACTTTCATGCCACAATGGAAACCCAGATTTTTCATAAGCAGTTAAATACCCCAGAATTTCATAAAAGGTGTAATAAGGCAAATTTCATTACTTTTTCTACCAATAAGATCTAGGAAGTTTCTTAGGTTAAGCAGAGGGACCTGTGTTAGAGTAGGGGTTGGCAAACTGGCTGTGGGTCAAAGCTGCTGCTTAGAGTTTTACTACAGCCTGTTCTCTCGCTCAGTTTTCAGATGTTTATTAAACCTACTTTGAAGGAAACAGGTGCATATTGGATGATTTCTGGATAGTGATTATAATCATTTTAATTTCCAACATGATATGAAGATGAAAGTGTGTGTGTGTGTGTGTGTGTGTGTGTGCAAACATTTCCCCTATTCCTAAGAACCAGTAACAAGTAGGCAAATGATTCTGAGTGAAATATTCAGTCAGTTACTAACCTCAAGTCTGCATCTTCATAATGTGGATGATTCACAATGGGATGAAGTGTAGACAGTTTGATGCTTGCCATTGTAGGCATAGCACCTGCAAAAACAGCATCTGAAAAATAAGATTAAATGTAAAAAGACCAAAAGTAAACTTATCCATAGTATCTGAATTTAAATTAAGCAAGATGAAGCATTTACTTGAATAAGAACCATTGATATCATTCATTTTATTCACTCAGTATTCACTGTCTACCATATGACATCTACTTTTGTTAAGTATTATCTTGGTGTTGGGAATGGTGCTCAGTATTTTTATAAGAAGCCAATGATTTAATCTGCATAAGAATTCTATGAAGTGAGTTCTCTGTTTTTTTTTTTTTTTACTTTGTAGAAGAAGAAGCAAACAAACAGTAAAGTGAGTTGTCTAAGATTGTACAGCTAAAAGGTTCAAAGCTCATACCCTTAGGCACTCCACTATCTCACTTCAGGATGGCACTACAAGCCAGTACTACAGAGATGCCCAGGACAAGGGAAAATGTAAATCACATGAGTTATCATGAAATTAAAGCATTTAAAATTATTTAAAAATGCTAGGGAGTGAGAAACTGTTTTAAGTGTCAAGGCTCAATAGCACATTTTTTCAAATGATTTTTGTATGTTGTGATATGTAGTCCTGTCTATGTGCCAGAGAACACATAGATGTCTTTCTTTAGATGATCTTTAAATATTCATAATTATGTTATCTCAGTTGCCATTTGAGTTTATGCCATTTATACATTTCATCCAAACATTTTATAACTGTGAGTACTATTTTTTAATGTAAAGGCATGTATAAATTCAGTCATAAATAGGACTACATAAAAAACTATCTGGCTTCAGTGTCAGTTTTGTCTCCTGGTAAACCAAATGAACAAATGCTTGTAATTGTGAAAGTTGTTATCATTTTAATTAGCACAATACAAACAAGGTGTGCTATTCAGATCTACTGAAGCAACTGTTTACTTTCAAATATAACCCAGCATTCTAAATGTAACTGTGAATGCAAATGCAAGACCAGCTATCTGCAATGTAGTAGGAACTATGGCCCAGTGCCACTGCCCAGCTTCAAGAGAGTATCATACTCTCAATGCAACTGGCCTAGAAAAAGATCACCACTCAAAGCTTAAGACAGTTCCTACTGAATGTGTATAGTGTTTCCTCGCTAGTGTAAACATGAAAAAGTGTAAGTCAAAGTATTATAAGTCAGTCTGTGCATACACACACAGACACACACACACACATACAAAGTGCTAACCACCTAACTACACAGTATATATAAATGTCTGTATATGTGTAAAACTAAGTATGCATATAACTAAATAGCTACATACCAGGTCTGGTATTGTATTTGATCCATTGTATAAGTTCTTCCTGAGGCAAATTATTAAATTCTCCTATTATGCTCCATTGGTTGTGGAGGTTTGCACAACCTTGTATTGACATCACTGTCAGAATGCCAAAGATAACATTCTCAAAATGAACTTTGCAAAAAAGCCAGCCAAAGAGCTGAAATGAAAAAAACCCACATTTATAATTCTTATATGAAGAATACTATTGGATTCTTACTGCTTAAACCAAGATTTACATTTGATATCAGTATATAAATACAGAATTATCATCAGCTATTGCTTAAAAACAATGAATACATTACTAGGCCTCTCAAAAGAATTTAAAAAGGCATACCTGATCCTTCTAGTAATGATTTGTAACCAGGGATTAGGATTAGCAAATCACAATTTTGAAAAATCCTAAAATTAGATCCATTAACATTTGGTTGCCTTGTGGGAACCAGAGAAACTTTATTAGCCCTAATGTGTATCTTCCTCTCAGGAAAACAAACATTATGATATTTTCAGACTACATAATCATAATCAAAACTAAATAAGATGTTTCTATAGGTTCCAAAACTCCAGGTAATTTATCTAATTATTTTGTATGTTAGATACACCCAGGGAATCCAGGATCAACAACTTATTTTTTAGGAATTCTCTGTTCCAAACAGGACTATACTTGAGCAATTATTTTGTATCTGTTCACTACTGAATGAATACTTGAGGGTGGTTTTGGTGGGCTGTAAACTGTCACAAACAACTCTGAAAGACTATATTGTGGGTTGAATACTAAACAGGGGAGAATGTGTACCTAATCACTCATCAGAGAAATATCAGTTACAACCAAGGAACAATATTTAAAGCCACTTGAAGAAGCATCTCGCACTCAATAGTAAATTGTGAACTAAAATTTTTAATGATTTAAGTTAACTAAATTAAAGCGCCTCATTTTATGTTTTGGATTACTCAGCAAAGCCATGGTAACTATACTAGTGTTGCTACAATATGATAGTGTACTTGCACAAGATGGTGCCTTACCCGCCGGTTGCAGATCAAGGAAGCCATAATACACATGTGTGGTGTCAAAAACAGTTTCAGCCTCATAATTAAAACAGCAAGGGAAGTAAATGCCATCAACTGCAAAGTGTGAAAAACCAGCTATAAAACAAAACAAAGTCTTTATTTTTTATATTTTATTATTAATAAGTATAAAGTATATTAAAGCCATTATTATTCATTAAAACAAAGATCTTCTAACTATAATGTCTATTAATGTTTATTTATTCAGTAAATGCTAGGCACTGTTCTGAGTGCTTCAGATATAACACTGAACTCTACCCTTGTGAGGCTAACATGTGAGTACAATTTAATATGAAGATACTGACAATAAATAGACATGCAAAATAAATAAGTCAACTAGAGTCCATAGAAAATAAATAAACCTCATATAGTCCATTACTAAGTGATAAATGGGCAAGAAAGTGGAACAGGGAAAAGAACCACCCGTGCAGAACAACTCAAGTACTGCTAAGGGTGCCCCAGCAGCCAGACTGCGCTTTGTGAATTATCCTTGAACGAGAGTTTAATATGCAAGTCTACCAGAGAAAAAAAATGACAACTTTACCTCACCACGTTCAAGGAGTTGTTTTCTGGAATAAAATAAAAATATTACCTATTTACTGAATGCCCATTATACTATAATTACATAAAAACAGCCTCATTGATTTGTTCTTAGATTTTTGAAATTTTATTCTCTTAAAACTACTTGGGAGTTTAAATAAAAAATACAAAAGATTAGATAACACTACTAAAATGTACAGTAATTTGAAAGGCATAATTTATAGTCATTGTACTGAAAGTATGTCAAAAAGTCATTCTTCGGTTAAGATAAAAAATGTTTTGCTGATCCTTGAAGATTGTAATTCTGGAAGATGAATACAAAGGCTCTCTATTAAATATTCATATTACATATAATAAATACTTTAGAAAACTACTACTGGAGTTTTGAATTGTTTTCATTTTCACGATTAAAAACCACATGAGCATTCTTGTGTAGTAAGTTTTGTTAGCAACGCTGAACATTAAATCAAGATAAAGTTCTAGAAGAAAAATTATTGGGTAAAGCACATGAATATTTTTAGTTCTAGAAGAGTGGTTCCAACTTATTGAGTATGTTCAGGAAACCTACTATGTTTTAACCACTGTATAGTGAAAAAGCAGAAACAGTATAGGTAAATTCTTATCCTTATGAAGCTTACATGAGAGTCAAAAGCCTGCCTATTTATTGTTCCACTGAAAGTATGGGCATTTTATAATATCCAGGATCCCTAATAGGGATTTAAAAGTAGAAAAGAGAAAAATAAGCCAGTGTTCAAAGGAAATTCAGGGGTATACAGATCTGTAGTTTTTTTTTTTAAAGGGTGTTTGGGGGATGTATCTCAGGACAATTGTTACCAATTACTCTACCACCATTGCAGCTCCTTTCCTACATAGGCAGCCGAGAGAGAAAGGTTTTCCCATTTGTCCTGAAGTCGTCCACTCACAACAGAATCCTGGAGTGAGCTATTGCATGCAGAGAAAATGCCTGGTAGGTAAGTATATATTATAATTGTCATGGACTGCCCCCCGCAACAGTAAATACTAATACAAACAGATTTAGGAGCTCATTTAAGATATGAACAAATAAGACACAAATAGCATGAAGGTGAAGCACCAGGACAAATGAGTAAAAACTCTGACCTCACAGAAAACAGAGCTAATTCAAGAAATAAAAGAGACTACTAAATGAAAATTCCAACTATGATCTTCAGAGAAGTTTGAGAGGATATCACATCCATGTAATCAGAAAGCTACCATGAAAAGGAGCTTTCAGAAATTCTGAGAAAACATATGTGCATAATTCAAAACTTCAAAATAACACTGAAAAACAGTGTACATAGCTGAAGTTGGTAATAGTGTACATAGCTGAAGCTGAAAACCAAGCCATGTAATTCTCTGAAAACAGAGAGGAAAAAAATAGATAATATGATAAAAGCCATAACAGAAGTTCAAGAAAGAGAGACTAAGTCAAAGAATAAGGGAGCAACAATTCCCTCAGCTGAAGAAGTAAATACTCAGATCAAAATAAACCTCTCTTTTTCCCCATCTCCCACCTCTACAAATTTCCAGAAAGAAACACTTTATAGAAGATTTTTCACTTGCAATGCTCCATATTAGCAAATGAAAAAGAAATCTACAAAATGCTGAATAAAACCCAGATAGATCTACTCAACAATCCATAATCAAAACAGAGGGGAAAAAAAACTCTGTACATGAAACAATAAAAGACCAGGACCAGCCAAATAAATCTTGAGAAAATGGCACAACATTGAGGCATCACAGTTCCTGACTTCAAAACATAGTACAAAACTACAGTGATCAAAACAGTATGGTAGGGGGAAAATCTAATGTGTTAAATTAGAGGATGAATGTATTTTTCAGTTGTTCCATTTTGGGGGATTCAAGCAATGGGAGTACTGCTTTCCAGGGAAGTGGGTGATAGCAGGAATCCACTGAAATATTTAGTTGCTTTGAATATAGGAGGTTTTGCTTGTAGTGCTGATGGTGCCAATTCACTGTACAGAGAAGAGGTCACACAGGCAGAGAAAGAAAAACCATGGAAAAAAAATTGGCTTGGGAGAATATGTGGAACACATAGACAGTCTGATTTAACTGATCCAGAGGTAGTGCAACAAGCTGGTGATTAAAAAGTGCTCCATGTTTCTCTGCTGGTAAGTAGAGAATTAAGGCATATTGCCATCTTGAAGTGGCCACACATCAGCTTTCTTCTGTGGGGCATTATTACAAGTGTTATCATACTGTTCCAGCAAGTGTCTGCTTTGAAGTTTAGAGTGTGCCTAGTGGATGTGACTGAGGTGGTTTAAACTAACGCTTGGATTAAACTGAGTCTGTCTCAAAACTAATAGATATCAACCACATAGAATTCATTACAAAAGAGAACTAGACAACAAAGGACACACTCACAACACAGAATGAGGAATGTTTCTCAACATGCAATGTTTCTCAACGTGCAAGTCCACGACTTGTAAAGACAGGAGGAAACCGGCAAACAAGTCCTCCCCTGAAGTTTACAATTCCCCAACAAAGGAACACACAGACATTGAAGGGAATGAAATTTCAAAAAAGACTATAAAAATAGATTATTAACATAATTAGT